TCAAGCGTGTGGTTCAGCAGTAGAGGTTGATCCATGCTTAAGCAAGATCAAGATTCGAATCATGCTTTGTGTATATAGTTATGTTAAATATTAGGGCCCACCCTTTAAGGTGCCTCACAAAAAACAAAGAATATCTCATCTATTCACTGAATATAAAAAATTTAATTCAATCAAACATTTTCATAGATAATAGATTTGTTAATTTCTATAAAAAATCATATACATAATATTTTTTTGATTACATAAGGTAAAACAAATATAATTCAACTATTAAGGGTGGAGGAGATTAAATTTGAAACGAAGGTTTCACCGGGCGTGTTGGTGACAACAGAGACCACACAGCACTCTGATGAAGCCGAGCGACACGGCCCTGAGTTAAAGTGTTGCTGAACTTAAACCGCAACACATTACACATACCAGGTGACCTTTGTCTACACTCTCTCAAAGCCTTCCTTAACTCACATTTGCGCTCACTTTAAGAAATGGGAATCCTCCAAACTTTTTCAAAACAAAAGCCTGTTCTCCTCTCTCTCTCTCTCTCACTACTTTCAATTCAATTTGTGCAAAGTTGAGTTGGGTTGAGACTCTGTGATTCCCATTACTACTTTTTATTCCATCTCTCTCTCTCTCATCCCACTACTCCATCAGACATCACATGCAATTGCAATTCACAAAAGCAGTTTTTTTTTTTCTTTTGTAAAAAAAGCACTATAACTAGTAGAAACCATAATGGTATGGGGGCACTCTTTACTCACGCAGAAAAAGAAGATTGAAAACTCTGACTGTGACTCCTCGTCAGAGCACCACATTCAAAAAAATTCCCTTTTCTTATTGTCCTCTCCTCTGCACACTGCAAAACAAAAAAACACATCTTCAAAATCCCTTCTTTGTCTCCGACTCCACAACAACCCCTTTACTCAAGATTCCGTTTTTTTCCTCCCAGCCTTTCCAACTTGTTGAAAATTTCCATTTTGGAATTGTTTCTTCACTTCACGTGATCTGGGTTTGTTCCATATAAAGTTTAGCTCTTCCCAGACCCAACACTTTTTTTCCCCTTTTAATTCATCCATTCATGGTTTCTATTGCCCTTGAATTTGCCCCATGAATTGTGGGTTTTCAATTGCTGAGTGATGATTAGATGCTTTTGTTTTAAAAGTGGTGTGTCATAAATAAAAATCTTGTGGCTGTTATGGGTGGTGATGGCAGAGTTGAAGTTGTGAGTGGCAAGGGGTGTTCGAGGCTGTTTTCATCTTCACTTCCTTCATTCAGAGGTTTGCAACCGTTGGAGCCAATGTCTCCTGTTTCGTCCTCTGTGGCAGTGCCATCAACTGCTCCTTTTGCTGGTCTGGTTATATGCGTCACTGGTTTATCTAAAGGTGTGGATTCATTCATGTATTCAATGTTTCATCTTTTGTTGCTTGGATTTAGTTTCATTTTTTTTCCTGGCTTGGCACTTTCTACTAATTTTTCTTTTATTTGCTCCACTAACCTTTTTGTTTGAATCAATCAATTACTTCAAACCATTGGCTTAGTTCTACATAGTGTTTTTCATAACTTTTTATATTTGAAAGAGTGAACCTTATTCTCACCTCTTTTGATGATTCGTGGGTATGTGTGGAATGGTGATTGTCCTTCTTGGCAATATAAGATGTCAAATGAGACATGTCTGGAGTTCTGAATTTAGACTTCTGTTACCTGCCATTTCTGATTTATCTTTAACAGTGAGCAAATAGAAGAAAGGGTTGAGGAATGAGAGGGATCTATTCTGAATTATCTGTTTGATTGATGGTAATAAGTGTATATTATCTATGGAATCTATCTTCATCTGTTACATTTTGTCTTTTCTTCTTGGCATAACATTGTTTATGTAGGCGGCTGAAAAGTTGTAGTTTTAGTTATCAATCGAACTGAGAGTAGATATTTTGTGACATCCCTGTTTCTCTTCGTTCTCTCCCTTTCTCTCAGACAAGTTAAAAGAGATTTTCATACAGTTATGTTGTTTTCTTTGGATTTGTGTTTTGGCAGAAGCAAGGAATCAGGTCATGGAGGCTACAGAGAGATTAGGTGGCCAATATAGCCCCAATTTGCATCCTCAATGTACCCATTTGGTGGTTCAGATATCCTTTCATAAATATATGTATTTTCCTACATGGTGATAGCAATAGCATGACAGTAGTAAGAAGATGCGATTTTCGTATACTGTCTGTCTGTCATATACATCAACTACACTTAGGGAAAAAATTCTGTAAAATTACCATATTTAAATTTATTTGTACCTAGTTCAGAAAGATCTTATTGTGTTGTACTTAGATTGGATGTTTCATGATCATCATAATTTCTTGAGGTCCATTATCCTAGCAATGACACGCCTCCAGGCTCCAGCATTTTATGTTGATTGGTTCAGTGTTGTCATGAAATCTTTAACATCTAGTACAGTTTTGCTGGACGTAAGTTTGAGCATGCATTGAAGCATGGAGCAAAAAGTGGCCTCTTTGTTGTCACACTGGGTTGGTTTGTGGATAGTGTCAAGAAAAATGGTAATTGAGTCTGTTTTCAATTGACATGTTTTATATTTTGGTTAGCTTTCTTGGTGATTATGATTCATCCTCCGTGCTATAGAGTCATGCAATACAGTAACCTGACACAACTTTCATATTTTGCATCTTTTCACCTTATGTTAAACGGCTCACTGTATTTGTCTAATTGTATTTAACAACCTACAGATTCCTGTTGTGATTACAGTTAATGTTGCAGTTTTTGGTGATTTTCTGTCAAAATACTGCTGCTCATTCAGAGGATGAGTGGTTAAGCTTAAATTGATACATATACTTTTCATTTCATTTTATTTTTTAAATCAAAGAATCCATTGGATTTGTCTTGTCAATGGTAATCCCATATGGCCCATTCATCTGTGATCTCTAAGTTCATGCAGATTTTCATTTTTACTGAATAATTTTATTTTTCATCATCTTTAGCTCTCTCTAAATTGATTTTAATAATTAAATAGCATAGTTGAACTGTTAGCAGCCAGAATGATTTATGAATTTAAATCATGCATATTGATATTTGTAGTTTTATAACCTGAATACATTTTCTTGTATCTGCTGCAGTGAGGTTGACTGAATCACATTATAGAGTGAAGAGTTACGGGGATAACAACATGCACTTTGACAATTTTAGACTTCTCGCTGAGTATACAAATGCTGAAAATCATTGTCTTCCTGCAAGAATCCACCAAACCAAGCAAGCAAATAGTGTTGAAGAACTTCAAAGATTCTCTGGGAGAGAGTCTATCAGAAATTCTGACTCAACTTTGTCTGGCTGCTCCATCTATGTTGATCCAGGCATTTCATCCGAATTGCAGAACAAGGTAAAGTTATGTTTCTGAGAACAAATACCCAGACATTTGTAATCATACTAGTTACATGTGACATCTTTCACATTACATGGAGTCTGTTAAACAACAGTCAACGTCAGTTTTTTGTTTTGGTTAAGCTAGTGTATGATTCAAGTGCTCTTGGCCAACACATTTATATCTTATATGCTTTGCATTGTTTGTTAGGTTATTGAGACGGTTTCAAGAGAAGGTGCTAGTTTGGTGGAACAATGGTTTGTTGGCTGCAATGTTAGTCATGTAGTGACTGAAGGGACATCAATTCAAAGATATATTGGATACTCTAGTAACCTCATTACTGTAAGTACTCCTACATTGTGTTTTAATATTTATCTATTGAGAAAGACCTTTTGAACGGATGCAACTTTCTCAAGCTCAGACTGTTTGCTTGTCATACTATTTTGCTTTTTTCACTGTACCAATACAACACCTGGAAAACATTAATATGCTATTAATTGTTATACACTAGGTAGGCCTCTACAATATTATTTATATCACAATGAAGTTCTTTGTATATGATATGTCTCAGCCTCTGTGGATTCTCAAAACAGCTAAGGAGAAATATGCGCAAAGGCTTGTTCACATGTCTGTTGATTTGGCAAAGCAAGTTGGCCTAATGCTAGAAGATATTCGTAGTGGAAATTCAGGGAAGGTAATTTCTCGATGTATTCTTTTACAATTTTGAAATTCATTTTTTTTCTTATTTTATTTTGTTCTTTCTGGCTTAGTAAAAAAAAAAATCTGGTTTTGAAAACACTTCTATAAGGTGTTAAAGTCCCAAGTGTTCTCCCTTATCATGAAATTATGATATTAATTTTATTGAAATATTAGGAAGTAATGAAGCGAAAAGTCAGTGACAATGTTCCAGACAATGAAAGTGAATTTGGTTATGAAGAAAGGCAACAGATAGTGAATTCTGCAAAAAATGGAGTCAGAAATCGCCGTGGTCGTCGAATGCAGGTCAGTCTTTCATTCACTTCTGTTTTTTCTGTGGAGCTTGTCCTCAACACCTACCTGTTGTGTTCTCTGAAAAATAAAAAATACTAAAACTGTTCTATTATTTTTCACGTCCCTAATGTAATTGAATGTTTGAGGCCAGGAACCTCACTTCTAAATTTCTCACTTTTAGTCACTTACTAACCATGTCACCAAGTTCATAATTTTGCACATGTTAGAGAGTTTAGAAAGTAATTCACACGAGAGATTTCAAGTCTATCATATGAAACCTGGGCACCACATTGGAAGATAATTCTGAGCAGGATCATCCACTCCTCTTTAGTTTCTCATCCTTTTAAAACATGTATAAGAAGAAATATATTGCATTGCTTTCCGTCAAAATGATGAACTTCGAAAATTTTGATCTGTAAAGTGTTTAAAAGTATGACAGAATAAAATGTGATAATTAGAATACCCATTTGCTGACATTTCATGATTTCTTCTATAAAGCATCAATTTATCAGTTAACAGATGTGGAAAAGACAGCATCATTTTATATTTTTGTTCTGCTGCTTGCTATACTTGGAAGTATGAATTGAATTCTTATTTGATTTGAACATGATTTTACAGACTTGTCAGACTCCAATACGTCCTATAACACCAAACAACCTTCTAGACTCTATCAGCTGGTCCATTTCAGAACCGACTTCAACTGCTTCCATTTACACAGACTCTTTCAGTGTCGAAGATCCTAGTGAAAATCATACCACTCCAATATTTTTCGACGCAAAAGGGGATGGCAAGGACTCAGAAGCTTCATTTTCAAACTCCACTCGTCCTCTAACAGAAAGGTTACTAGTTGTAATTAACTTCCTGTGGCCTGCGCTACATATTTTCTTTACGTAGTAGATGTAACAAATTATTGGGACTCGGGAGTCTTCTAATATTTTCTCAACATCTTTTGCAGTGAGAAATCTGAGTTGATATTTAAAAATCATTTCCTTACCATACTCTTCCCAGTTGACCGATTTGCCGAGATGGGTCCTTCTTCAAGAACGTTTTTCAGCCATAATGGTTTTACGTGTCTTCAGGTGTTGGATCATATTCATGCTTTTTATCAGGTACAACATTTATTCTTTTGGAAATTTGCATGCATTGTTATCAGCTCTCTAACAATTTTTGGCTTCTATTCCTATCTACTTTATGTTATGATGATAATAGGAGAACATGCCAAGGCAGGAAATAGAAGTTGCAATTCATAGCGATTCAAGACACGCAGATAGGCTTAGATCAGTGTACTCAAGTAGGGAAACAGCAGAACGTGGCTATGTAATGTTCAAACGGGTTGAATTCTTGGGTAGTCGTACAAGTTTTGAAATGTTAAAGCGTGTAACTGGGGACAACAACTCCAACGTTTATGAACTATTACTTAGGGCTTAAGGTAGAGATTCTTGGTAACCGTACGAGTTTTATACTCTGTTCTTGTAAAGATTTTTCTGCTTTGGGCATTGAAATTGATGAGAAATAGGAATATGGTTTTATTACTCTTTTCAAGATAGGTTAAATTATAATGTTTGGCTAGAATCTGTCTGTTTTTTTTACTGTGAACATACATTTTTTTTAAGTAATAATACGTATGAAATGTACACGTCGAATTAAAAGATTAGAGCTGCTGAATTGTTTTAAAGGGAAAGGTGTATTTATCATGTTAAAAAAATATTACGTGTTGCTTGCTTAAGCTTCTCATTTTAGACGTTTGAATTAAAATTCGGATGCTAAAAGACATAATTAAAGAAATTCATGTATTTTTTAGCTTAAGAGTTTCCAAAAATTGAGTTTCAATTATATGTTAAAATATTAGTCTTTGATAAACATAAAAGATGTTGCAGAATTGCTTAAATATGCTGATTTATGTGTATATGGCTGGCGGGAATTAGTTTTGAAAAGCAATGGGAATGTATGGGAACAATCTATTTTGCTGGAAACAATTGTCAAATGAATTTTTTTTTGGAAGCTTTTATTGTAAATATTAACATGGTGAAGTTAAAAATAATTTAAGGGAAATAAAAACAGGTTATAATGTTATAAAAGACAATTTGAAGCTTAATTTATTTTAACAAGTTAAACTCGAGTTTTTAATTAAATCCGTTTAAATTAGGGATGACAAAAATATCCGCACTTGCAGGTATCTGGGTAAAACCTGCTACAGATAATAAATAGATAAGATAATTAGGTACCCACAGATAATGGGGACAGATAATTTTTTACCCGTTTATAAACGGGGCGGGGACGGGTATGATGATATCCATACCCGCGGATACTCGTTTAATAATATTTCTTAAATATCTTAATTATCCTTGTACCACATAATCCTAAAACTATATTCTCTCATCTTATTTTTTTACAAAAGTGAGGTTGATGAAGTTACTAACATGTGTTAAGCATGTTATAGAATTATGTTGGATGTAATTTGATTAATTTTCTTGTTTTGATTGGACCAATAAGATTTATGTATTTTAAGTTATTTACTTTCGTTTAGAATTATGAAATTGAATTATTGTAACTTTATGATGAAACTTTAACTTGTGAGATTGATGTATTTTAAGTTATTAATTATCTTGCATTTTTATTATTATTTTAACAAAATTAACATTAAATACAAGTTTAAAATTAACAATAAATTTTTATTTTTAATATTTTAATAACATTAAATATAAACTTAAAATTATTTATAATATAATCTTTTTAATTTCTTAAAAGATTTATAAATATTCATAGATATTCATGAATATCCGTGAGTATTTAAGAAATTCATGGATACCCGCTTAATGGATACTCGCGCGGATATGGAGTTAGTATGGGGGCCAATTTTAATTCGGCAGGGCAGGGACAAGTTTACTATTACCCGCCCCCATGGAGCCCCATTGCCATCCCTAGTTTAAATAAATGAAACAAACTCGAGCAATTCTAACTACTTACAAATCAAGCTTAAAATTCAAGTGATTAGCTACTCAACTTATTTATAGTTCTAAATCAGATATAAATTGATGCCCAAAACACATTTTACACGTTTTACATTTAATGACTTATATTCACGAATTGTGAGATGAAAGCAAGTAAAATTATAAAAATAAAGGGGAAAAAGTGGCACAAAATAACCCAAACACATTTTACACGTTATAAATATACCAATTATGATTTCAGTGTCCAAATCCTTCGGGATCGAAACAGGCGTTAAAGACAAATAATAGACAACATACATGATACAATTATGCAACGAAATTTATGAACTAAATACTAAGAATAACTACTACATGTGTTTGGATAAAAGTTGAATTCAATTCAACTTATTTTAACTTCAAAGCAACAACCTTATTATTGCTTTTAGATTTCATGCATTGAAAAGTGAAAACACACATTTCAATGCTTTTGGATATCCAAACACACCCTACATTATTACATTTGGTAGCTTTGGTGTCAGTTTTCTTCTCTTTCGCCCATCCAGGAAAGGAAAGGAAAGGAAAGGGACTTCTGTTTGTTTACTCCTAAATCTTCTCAAACACTGCCCTTTTTTTCAATCCAGCCTTTTTTTTTTTCTTTGGATCCTAGTACCACAATTTTGAATCCCCAAAATACTCTAAACTAATGGTCCTCCACCATTAATCTAAGACAATTTACCAAAGATCAATGGCACAAAACAACAGTTCATGTCTTTTTGGGGTGTACTAAACTGTGGCACTAGCCATTCTCTTTTATTTTTCTTTTCCTTTCACTCCCTTCCCTTTGCTTTCTCTTCCCCTAAGAAGAAAGTGGAGAATCAATCGAAACTTTTCCGAGTCTTTGTAGCTCAAGAAGCATTTCAACTGCAGCGGAGTCGCAGGAGCTCTTCTTGTCACCTCTGGCTTCTCCTTTGCATTCTATATTACCATAATTAGGCATGCACAAGGTAATTTTCGACACAAAACAGTTAAGTCCCTTGCTTCCTTCCAGGGCTTCGCAGGATTTAAATAAAGATCTGCTACCATAAAACTTGTCAGATTCGTACGCCACAGCATTACCCATTCTAGAACAGAATATTCGTATTTTGCACATTACATTGTTTTACACCACACATCATATATAGACAATAATATCATTTTAAATCTTTTTAGCCATATCAAACCAATTGTTGAAACGTGTGTAAAGGTGGTGTAAACAATTCCATATAAAAAGGCAGAGAGTATAAATTAGTTGGTGGACTCACCTGTCTTTATATTCTGTTGAATCAAATGAAGGCACTGGCCACTGTAGTTTCTTACACACTTCAAATAGTGTGGTCCGTGGTCCTCCCTTCTTCATATTAATTGATATATTAACTGTATAACATAAATCCACAATGAAGTTGATCTATAGGTAGTATTTAAATAAACCGTTTATACAGTTAAGGATTTAAAAAGCAAAAATAAAAAACAAGGCAGAGAGAACTCTAACTCTGTAAGCACCAGCCTCTGCACTTGCAACCCCGAATTATATTCCACAAATATATGATATGCAACTTGGATATCTACCTACTTAAGGTGCAAAGAAATATCAATTCTACTCTCTCTCCCTTCTTTACACATTAAGCTGAATTAAAAAAAAAACAATTGAGAAAGGAACTAAACCCTATCTATCTATCTTCTAGCGACATCCACAGCATTATTTATGATTAGATTTTATGAATGTTACAGCAGCAGGAGAGTGATCAATTCAGATGTCTCACAAAACTGAATAATTAATATTTTTCCGTTCTTCATAGTAACTTAAAATATACCACAAAATTATATGTATGGGTAAAATGGAGCATAAGAATAAGACAATTGCATGATAAAGGATGGAAATAAACACATCACTTCAATTTGCTCTATTATGCTTGTTTCTTCTCAACAACTCTAAACACTAAAAAGCCATAGAAAGCACAAGGAAAAATTTTCCCAATAGAGAAGACAAAACTTGCTACCAAAAATGGAATGGAATGGTGCAAAAATAGTTAGACAAAAATTGGTGGTGCAAAATTGGAAAGTAAGCACTGAAATCAGAGATGTCACTGGAAATCTTTGAGAGGCAACTTACTTGCAGTTAAGTTAGTTTCATCCAAGCTGGGCCTTTTAGTCGATGAATCTTTGATATGGTCAGGATTATCTCTTTTTCCCTTGGACACAAAACTACCATGTGAGATTCCCCTCTTCTACAAGTATAAGACTAGTGGTCAACAAAACAAATAAAGATAGAAGTAGAACAAAAGATAACAAAAAATTAACAAATCAAGTTTCTCATAAAATTAAGATCTCTTCCAATTTTTTTTCTTTCCATTTTGGTGGAAGCTGTGCTGTAAGGTGGACTGGACAGCAAATAATATGTAAGAAAAACTAGTATTGGGAGAAACCCAAGTCCTATATTGATAGAGAATTAGAGACAAGGCAAAACAAAAAGTTTATAAATGGGGATAACTCTCAACTTACAAGACGGTTTTGTGAGGTTAAATTAGGCTCTAATCCACTTTCTTAAGATGGTATCAAAGTTATCATAGATCCAATCTAAAAGGTTCACCTACACCATTGATACACACATCAAGCCCAATAGTATTTGGGTGAGGGAGTATATTGCGAAAAACCCAAGTGCTGTCTATCTTCAATCATTAAAAAGAGTCGCCTATAATTTATCCATGTACCAAATCCAATAGTGCTTAACGTGAGAAGGTGTATTGGGAAAAACTCAAGTTTCACAGCAACTAGAGATAAGGCAAAATAAAGAGTTTATAAGTGGAGACAACCTCCACTTTACAAATTGGTTTTATAATGTTGAGTTAGGCTAATAACTTACTTTCTAAGAAATAGTGATGGTTCACTTTGTATTTAGTGCAAAAGCAGACAGCACTATTTTTATCATGTATGGAATCCTACCCGTGGCCACTTTTATCAATTAAAAATGCTAAACTATACAAAAGTTAAGCACTTGGAGAAGAACAAATTAGAAACTAACTATGGAAATAGACGGGTGATTAAATTGGGAAGATTATTTCTCCCCATTATGTGTTCAGGTGAGTATATTTCTTTAGTCTGCTCGAGTATTAACTAGCATTATTGTTTATCTACCATAAAACCACCCATGTTTGAAATCTACTATGTACATATTTACTACCAATTTTGATAATTTTTTTTCCTTAGACACCCCTAATAGCTTCTTATTCGTAGAAAAGAAAGAAGGCTCTGGGAGTCCTGAAAAGAAACATTCTCCCAAACTAAACTATTCACCAACTCAGATTAACACAACTTGTGCATAGAAAGACCTTAAAACTAACAAAGGAAAAGAAAATTCAGGAAGACAATCATAAAAGAACAGCAAACCTCAAGTTCCTTCAGTAAATGAAAAGCAGCTTCTCCTTTTGCAGTTTTTTTATTAGCCCCATATGCTACTTTAGCCAATAAGGCGTTTGGCAGCTGTACACTAACCTCAACATGTGTTGTGCTTCCCTTCTTTTCAGAATTTTCTTTTACTTTTACAAAATACCCAAGTGAATCACATAATTCATTTAATTCACGAAATGGAGGCAATTCAAGTTTATCAGGAGTAACAATGGGAGACAATAAAGGATAGAAAGCCTTCCAGACTTCATCAAGACTGAGCTTGGAATCAATTAGTATAGCCCCAGCAATACTTTCCACTAGATCTCCAAGTGCCTGACATTTATAACAAACTAACAATGTTACAACTTTAAAACACTTCATCAATAACAATCATTTTCTGGGAAGTTATAAAATAGGACTTCGTTTGATTTTGCAAATCCTCTTGATTTATGTTGCATGCTGTTAGGATATAGAATAAAGGGAAATAGAGTACTTATTAGTTAGAAGTATATCATGGGCTAGACCCATCACATCTATAAATACGAGGTTACTCATGGGAGACATTCATATATTTTCATTTGTAGATTGAGCTTGGGCTCTTTGTGAAAAGGAGAAATCCTTTGTGAAGGGGAAACCCTTGGAGGAGATATTTCTCTCCTATTTTGTAGAATAAAATCTTTCTTAATAAAATCAATAATTATCAAGTTTGCCTTCATTAGTTTACCCAATCAATGTATGCATGATCAAGTAAAATCTTTGAAATAAAATGAATTTCATTCATCTTTCTTTGGTGTTCCAAACATGGGAAACAATTTGTAAATCAATGGTAATATTTCCTAACGAGTTTCAAGCATAAGAATTGGTTTCTAAATCAAATCTATTTCAATTCAGAACATAATGCAAGAGAAACTCAAATAAGTAACTACAAATATACAAGAAAGAACCATAATGATTACCAATACTAACCTTGGGAGCTCTAACGCTTGGGAGTGATTTGGGATCTGATTCAGAATTGACCTTCACATATTCTGATATCTGACTCATTAACAATCCAGAGCTATGTCGAAGGTGCTGGTGAAGATTATGTCTAACAGCAACTTGAGCAAAATTGTCATTATTGACAGAAGCAGAGCGTAAGTCAGTCAACACCCCTGGATCAACAACTGTGTGACTTTCATAAAGATGCCATGTGATAAGCAGGTCCAACACCGAGTCTCCGAGAAATTCAAGCCGCTGCCATAAATTTAATAATATGGATTGTAAAAATTAAATATCAATAAAGTACTTAAGAATATATGAAATTTCATAGTTACCTCATAACAACCAGTCCCAACTTCTTTCTCAGACAAATGTGTGATTGCCTCCAGTAAGAGTCCCTTGACAGAAAATTCATACCCTATTTTCTTTTCAAGGCTAGCAATACTTTCTTTTGGCACACTTGTATGCAGAGATGCAGCAGTGATTGCTTCATCAACCAAGGATAGTTCAAGTTCAGCACCAATTCCAAGCCATTTCATCACATTAAGTGACGCAAAGAGTCCACCACCCACATAGTATGCTCCTATCAAAGCTTCAACACAGTCAGAAATAGTCTTCGAGCACATCCAGCGGTGACCCCTGTCACAAAACTTCCCAACCACAACTTTTGGATCTTCAGTATGGAATTTTCCATCTAAAGGCACTTCTGAGGTTTCTAACCCACAACCACAATGAAAAGTGTATATAGAATGTTGTCCAGGAGCAACCCAACGGCGTGGTTCAAATGCAGAGTCTCGAATATATCCCTAATAGATAAAATGACAAAATAACCTACCATTAATTCATTCCAATGTTTGCTCACTATGAAAAATCCCATAATGATAGTATAAAAAAAAACCCACAACTTATGATGTACTCTTACAAAAATAAAGGTAGGAATTACAAAAGCAGTGTGGTCTAGGCACTGAAAGGAGTTTTCTCAAATTTATAATTTTTCTCTGTGCATACTTTTATTATTTCAAAATAATGAAAATTATAATTTTCCTGACTTACCGAATGTAAATATGCTTTCCAAAATAGATACATCCATAATAATAGAGCCAGATAACATTAATGGCACAGATAAATGCATTGTGTAAAATTGTATTTGTAGAAACAAAAACTATTCGCTGCCTGCACCTGATGAATCATTCAATAGATTTTTAATTGGTATCAAAGTTTACATCATTTGTCAACAGTTTTAATTGTCTCTAAGTCAAAAATAAAAATAAAAATAAAAATAAAAAACTGCTCATAATTGATTATTAGTACTGGATAGTGGTGGGTCTATGCTTTGTCCACATTTCATGAGCCTTTAAATAACATGTGGAATTTTAGGTTCCTAGACAGTAACAAAAAAAAATAGTAAAGAATACCTGTAATTTGCGATCTGTCCCCAGTTTATGTAGGGTTGAATTACAAATAGTCCATGATCGTCTGGCAGATAATTGTCCTTCGTGTTTCTTAGGATATTTTAGAAATAGGTGACAGCTAACCACATACTTCAAAACAGAATCTCCTAGCAACTCGAGACGTTCCATTGAAAATTTTTCATTACATCTCAAAGTGGTGAGTGCTTCTAGAATCTAACATTTACAAAAAGAAAAAGAAAATAAGATTATCATAATGAACACAGAAATTAACAATAAATGAGTATTTTATCCAAAAAATCATATATAGGACAAACCAGTGAGCTAGGTATGTTGGACTTGCTAGTTTGACCATCTATTTCTTCTCTAAGCTGACTGGATAACATAAAAGATTCAATGCGGTACATCAGAGATGGCAGCAAGTACATTGACTTCAATACATCTCTTTTAACATTAAGAACATATAGAAGCTCAGGTGGAATGTGAACATGTGCTGGCATTTTTGAGGTTGCAGGGCCCTTTTGTGATGACTTGTCTCGTGCATCTGCTCAACTCAAAAAATCAAAATCAAAATTTAACATGGTTCATAGCAGGATTCACATGAATTCTATCAAGACAGTAAGAACCAGAGAAGCTCATATTCGCTATCAGTTTCTTCAAATTGTCAGGGTGCAAAATGTAATTCCATTGACAACTTCAAGGAAGAGGGTAAATTTTAATTTTAAACAAAAGTTTCACTAAAATCATAATACGGAAATTTCAAACAGCATTTATGAGCCACAAGATGAAAACTTCAATTAGGTACAACTAACCTCCGTAGAAGTTAAAAAGAAGATTGTGTGGATTATGACTTTGCTTCAAACGTAACAAAGATTGTCCTGGATGTTTCAGTGTAATCCCATACCTAATCAAATTTTAAGTTCTTTAGCATAGTATATTAATAATGTAGTAATGTCAAGGCAAACAAAGCATAAGTAGGTGAAGGAATAAATTATGCACCTTTCACTGTAATAATCCGAGAAGGTTATGAATTCCTTTGATTTTTCTTTGTTTCCATCGAAGGGACTTTCAGGGGATAGGTTACGAACAATCTCAAGAATACAATATATTTTCCCGGTGTGAATGGCCAAAACTATCGTGTCTTTTATATTATTAACGCCCAGCACACAATTAGCAAAGTGAATACTGTTTGTTCCTTCACATTCCATCTCTGATGACCTTGTATCAGGAGGAGTTGTGATTGTGCCATTATCACCACAATCTTTAGTGACCAAAGAAAATTTTCTCCTTAAAAATTCAATAGCAGCAGCACAAGAATTGATTCCAAACCAATTTATTTGCAAAGATTCCCCACATGTATCATTCAATTTCTCAAGTGGTAGAAGCAAATATAAGAGTTTTGAATTCCACAGTGATTTTGTGTCTTTCTGAAGTAAAAATTCACTTTTCCCTCCAGCTGATTTGGACCTAGAAACCAATCTTCCAAACAAGCCGTTGAAAAAGAGCTCATGGAAGCATTTTGCTTTCATCATCTAGCATAGAACAAACAACAAAGCATCAAGTTAACTTCCATATCAAAATGAGATTAATGCTATATATACTACTTTGGATAAAACCTTAAAAACCTTATTTTTTTACCTGTTCAGCATTTAAATCAACTTGCCCACATGAAGACACGGAAGCTCTAACTATCTTTGAGACTAAATAAAGATCTAATTCTACATTTCCCACATCATCATCAAGCTTTGACTCAATCAAAAGAACAAACCCGGAGTATATTTCACTAACAATATTACATGAGAATTCAAATTTATAGGCATGAAATTTGGCTCCATCCAGTTTGTCTCCCCATGCACCACTTAATGCACGAATGCTGGCCATTCCATGTAACTCTTTTCTTTTTGTGGTTCCTTCAAATGTCAAAAGCAAAGCAAAATCAAAAGGCATGTCAATACAAACAAACATTCTGTACATTCCATATAAAAGGAAAGAACAACCTTAAACATTTAAAACCTGCAAGAATACTCATTCAGTCCATGGTTGCCAAACTTAAAGTTGATCTAAAAACATATAATTCTAGTATCCAAACCAAATATAATCCCAATAAAAAAAATAAAATAAAAAATACTTCATAAAAGTATGATAGTACAGCCATTCTCAATTACCTAGGTTATGAAATTCAAAAAATCTCATTCAATATAAGTTGCAAAAAACTAGACCAAAGAATTAAACTTTAATAATAACAATAACAACTTAATTACCTTTTAGTTTGGACACCCAGGTTGACAAAAATAAAACAAACAAATTTTGCAGCAATGCTATGTGCTTGAGAACATACATTAAAAAATATGCAAATTTTAAAACTTGAGTTTAGCAACCATTATAAAGTTCACTAAATAAATAGAAATAATTCAAAACATTCTTCACCAGAACTGGGGCATGTAGGCCAAACGTTTATAATAGTTTTTTTTCCTTCTCCTTTTTATGCTTTGGTTTGTTGGGCTTCAATTTAAGTCCAGTTTAACTTCTCTTAAACTCTTATTTTATTTAATGCATAACATATATTATAATAAACAAAATAATACATAGCATTTTGGGGGTGGCTACTATAGACTTTAAATCATTTCATACAATCCAAATAAACATATTAACTTGAAATCACTTTTCAGTAAATATATCTTAACATGAAACTAATTTTATCATAATTAATTTAAAATAAATAAACTACAGATATAGTCAACTAATAATAATTTACAATAGTTGACAAAAGGTTTTTGTCAAATTCTAAAATATCAATTATACATCTTTTGCCACCCAGATTTGGAAGTTCTTAGCCATGCATGCAGTCAAAAAGGATAAAAAATACAAAATTGCATATGATATTTGAAATATGCACAACCATTGTTAGGGAAGTCTGACATGTGAGAAGTATAATGCAATTTTTAAATTAAAAAATGTTTTGCCACAACATACAAAAAAAAATGAAAAATATATATAAAAAAAATAGCAGATAAATTGTACCTGCACCAGAACTCGAGTCTTTGTTTTGCACAATATGGTCATCATCTGAAGGATCTTCAGTGAATGGAACCAGATGGTCATTTAAGGCACCAATTTGATGTAGCTTCTTACAAGCTTCAAAACAAGCAAGACACCTCGCCAAACGAATATCTTTTCCTGGAGAACCAGTTACTGCTTGAATAGCTGCATTAGGTGGTAATATCAACGTACATTTGTAACCCCCTTCCACAGGCATAAACTCAAAACTGGGCTTTGCACAGGAGTACCTAATTCAAATTACATGCACAAGTTGTTTGTGAACAGTATGTTTCAAATGGTTAAAATGAAGACAAGCAAAAAAAATATAATCTTACTTATCTCGTGGGAGCTTTCCACAGTATTGGATGATAAGACTAGCACTGGAATCTAAAGTGACAGATGCTCCAGTAGATTCCACATAGTATGTATCTATTTTCTCCGTAATTAATGCCCTTGTACTATATTCATGGTCTTTTTTAATAGAAGCATCATTCATAAATCGCTCACTCCTAATGATGTCAAAGAGTTGATTTCGTTGCTTCAAGTTCCCCCTGAAGATACAAGTGTTAAATCTATGTGTAAACACACAAAGACAGTTCAGGGGAGTAAAGAAATCTCCAACATTAAAAAGAATGCAACAATCAGAAAACTTGCCTCTCCAACATCAAAACATACTGCGAGTTAGCCTGCCTAGATCTTCCACGTGATTGGACATAACTACGAACTGTTTTGGGGAGGTCAAAACGTATCACACAAGAGCAGTTTCGCACATGAATTCCTTCCTCAAGTACATCAGTAGTAAATAATAAATTGACCTGAAAAAAGTATTAATAATTTATTACTAGATTTTCAATACCAACAGTAGATAATTTTATTGTACACATCACTCAATTCACATGATGCAATAAATTATACCTTTCCAGAGTGGAAACAGTCCAATATCTCCTTCTGCCTCTTAGGAGCCAGAGCATCCACCGAAGTAGTGTTTCCAGTTAAATAGGAAACTGTGAGATGAGAAATCTGGGGAACTTTCTTTATGAATCTTTCAATCACCTTAGCTGTAATGATTCTATCAACAAAAATAAGGCACAAAACCTGACTAGATTCTCTGAAAACACAAAGAATAATAGATTACCAATTTGCTATGATACATATAATTCAACTTTGTATGGCTGGAATAGTACATCATAGATCCATACCCAAATGACTCGAAAAGTTGAATGAGTTCAAGTAATTTTGGTGATATGAATCCCAAATCTTCTGCCTTTGAATAGTCAAAGTCATCCCCCAAAATCTTTTTATCAGCTGCAGAAATAGAAGTTAAATTAGATGCAGAGATTAAGCCAGAGTGCAATAAATGAACAAATTTATCATAATTTATTTGGCTAATAATGAACCCAATACAAAAATCATTTATCAACAACATTTTCACTAAGCAACAGATTGCTTGTGATGTCAAAAGCAGAATGCACAAATAAAAAGTTTGCAAAATGGACCTTCAAAGAGAAAACTAACCATTCTAAAACAAAGAAACATGACTAAAAATTTATTGTTTATATAAAACAATGCCACATATAAAACCATCAGCATAAAATCTTGCAATATATGTGAAGAAGATAAACTAATAAAAATATACTATATTGCCTAAATTATAAATTGATACTTGCAATCTATACTTGCAATCTCAAATTTTAAATATACATAGAAAGATCAATAGCCCAAATAGGGGGGAAGATACTATCATAAAGCATACCAAGATGGAGGGATTCTTCTATTATTTTGATTACTTCTTCAAAAATAGTTATACACTGGAGATAACCTTTACGGTAAATTTCACACTCTCCTTCAATTTTGGAGAAATTCTCATGACAGATTTTAACAGCCTGCAAAAAGATAGACAATTCATAATATATATGAGGAGCAAAAGATAATTATGATTAAGAAAAAGTCTGGAGGCTTGTCAATTTACATGTGTACATACTGATGTATACATCACAAATGTGTCCATATAACTCAAATATATGGTGGTATTTTTACATATCAGGAAGACTTGCTACACAGAATCAGTGATGAAGGTAAAAGAAAGAAACCTCTGAGCCAAAACTTTAAAAGGGTTAGAGTTGAGGGTAGATATTTTCATTCGATTTATAAGAAGCAATGGATTGGTTAACAAAATATAACCCCAATCAAACACAGAAAGACTTCAATAACTCTTGCTTAATTACAGAACGTTGAGAATTTAGTTTCAGCAATAACCCCTTGTTGATGTGCGTGTATAAATGTGTATATTTAATGCTACTATATGGTGATATTTCTACATATCAGGAAAACTTGCTACCAACCTCAAAGCCAAAACTTTAAGTGGGTGGGAGTTGATATTTTCATCTGATTTATAAGAAGCAATGCATTGGTTAACAAAATATAATTCCAATTCAAAAAAAGAAAGACTTCAGTGACTCTTTCTTAATTACAAAACATTAATGATTTACTTTCAGCAATAACCCCATATCATAATTCCATTAAAAAAAACCCTTTCTATTTCTTTATACAACTTTTTTCCCCACAATGAGTTTGAAAAATACCTCATAAGCACAAAGGAGCCCAAGATCTTCAAGGCAATGGATAATTTTCGCAAGTTCATTGGACATCCGCTGATTCATCGTCTTAAATTTATTGTCCACATCCTTATAGTTACTATGATTTTCTGATAATAATGCATCCATCTGCCCAAACAGATAAATTCAGTCAGTATCCTTCACTGTAAGAAATAGTGTGTACAATTGGGGCAGAAGAGAAGTATATTTTGTCCAAAGCAAGATGACCCGCAGATACCTTGACCCACAGGGCTTCAATCTTAGGTTTCAAACTCAAAGCAGAAAATCGTGCTTGGTCATAATATATACAACTCTCTTTAGCAGAAGGGATACATCTATCAATCTCTGTCCGATCTTCAACAGTATATCTCTGCAGAAACAAAAATAATAAGACATTTACCTTCTTTTATTGGTATAAAGATCCTATCACATGTGAACTCATGGAAAAATTATTTTGATTCAACGTCAAGAAAACATTACCTGAGAATCCAAAATGCTTTCAAGTTCAGATATCTGATCCTCACAATCCATAGTAGAGGTAACACCTGATTCAGGATACAATACATAAATAATATACATAGCAAGTCTTCAAATTCACAATATGGACTCCAAGTGATTTGTTGTAATTTGAACATCATAAAATAGTAATTCCTTAAGTAAGACAGCAGGCAATCATTAAAAAACAAGGCAGAGAAGAGCTTCATCAGGAGCCAGGGCACAGCAAATCATGGCATAAATATATCTAATTTTCATTTAAAATAATTTGATAAGTACACCAGCTGGAAAGCTTCTATATGAAGAGAAAGTTAACTTTATGGTTGTATTTGAAGCAGAGATAGTTTGCATATCCGTATTTTGTAAATTGAAATTGTTGCAATGGCTATAACTGTCATATTTCACACAAAACATGAATTAATAGGTGTGCCACTTGGAAGGTTTTTTGCTCTATTTGGATTAGAAGTGAAATGAAAAGGTAATGAATTAGAGAGAAAGAAGTAGGAAAGAGAGTATAAAAGGTGTGTTGTTTGGATGCATAAAAATAAAAATAAAAAATAAAAAATAAATCAGTGGAGGAAATTTCCTTCTCCGTTTGTTTGGATGAGTGAAAGAGTAGATAAAAATAAATACATAAATTGCATTAAAAAGATTTTAATACTAATTTAAAAAATTAAATCTAACTCTAAAAAATTCAAACTTTTTACTATATTATTTTTCCTAATATAAAATTATTTTTTGCTTATTTATTTTTTAGGTAACAAAAAACATTTAAATTTTTAAAAAAACTAAAACAAAATTAACTTCCCAGTCTTCCCTCCACTTTCTTGAGGGGAGGAGTTTTTGTGTAGGACCCACAAAAAATTCCCGCCTACCTATCCTCTCAAACATACAGTAGAAATTTGGTAGTTTAATGACGACTTTAATCCCATTTCCTTGTCCTCTATTTCCATTAAATGAAACAAAGGGTTTATGAATTGTGAAATGATCATAACAGAAGATTTGATAACAAAATGATAAAAGAAAAAAGGTAAAAGTAGTGTATGACTGTAAACAAATATCATCCCAAAGTAAGTAATTAGAATATAAACATCGGCCCAAGTTATCATATAGAATAATAGGGAGATCTTGGTCGCACGAAAGCTTATGAACGAAGCAAATGTCCTCCCAGGTCCCAGCACAGATGTTCTGATACAAAAGAAAAAGGCTCTATTTTTTTTGTGAAGTGGAAATACTACAAATACAAGGCAGATTGAATTGACTTTTTACCCTAAAAGGCCTTTTCATTCTTTCTAATTAAAAAAAAACTATAAAGTTTTTAGCAGAGAGATCACACAACACAATTTTTTTCCAACATGCAACTTAACTCTATCAACCTACATACATCATACAATATAAAAAAATAACGACAGGGAAGGTAAAAAATTGATGATACATAGTGCGCCACGAATTGAAAGATGAGGGGCACTAATAAAACATGTGAAAACAATCCACTTCAGGGGCACAAGTTGAACAGAGTGAAATAAGTACTAGCTCTTTACAAATTTTAGAAGATTGTTCTACTTCAAATTTAATGCATTGTTTCTTTTATGGTAAGTATCCATAGCTGTCTTCACTAAACTATATTTTTTCTTCTATAAGTGTGATTTTCATTTATTTATTTTTTTGTGGTAGAAAAAGATATTTAAATTTATACAGTACAACGATGAATGGAAATACTTTATTTTTAAAAAAAATGAAGGAGCAAAACTAACTACAAAATAAATAATATGATTGGGAGTAAATTGGATATCACAACCCATGGTTGTTTCTCAAAGTTTGCACGTAAATAATTACCTTTTTTTCCTACCGGTGATGCTGTCATCGCAAAAATTTTTGGCTTTTTGTCAGCTTGGTGATAAAATTCCTTCATTGGCATAAGACAATAGTTATTTGTAAATATATTCTCTAACCCAAAAAAATGAATAGACAAAAAGAGTAGAAATCATATACAAACTAGTAAAATACAAGGAAAAAAAACAAGGAATGTTTTCCAGTACTCACCTTCATTATTTGTGTATAGGGATGGTTGCCAATAGCTCTATGACATTCATCAATAATTATCAGGCTTATCATTTCTATACGCAAGAATGCTTTTCTTAAGGCATTCAAAAGAACCTGGGGTGTCATAACCAGTACCTATAAGACAGAAAGATATTATTAGCAACCATTGATCAAGTCAAAAGTATTCATGAATTTATCTATATAATTTATGGAATCAATTGTTAGTAATGCCCTAAACCCAAAAAATTTAAAAATAAATTAACAATGCACTATCCAGTTCAAAATGAAGCATTGATGATTCACAGTGTTATTACAAACTAATCAAACGAAAGTTTGAATAATTTTTTACCACAACCACAATGTTGACATAACTAACTAACTATCAAGGCTCAGAGTTTAGAACAATTAAAAATTCACTTATTGAATGAATCATACATTTTTCAAGTTAATATCTCGCATCAAATAAAAATGGAGAAACAAAAACCAGTAAAAGCATTATAAACCCTTGATAACCATAGAATAGTACCCTACCATCAATCAATGTTGAGCAAGGATGGATGGTTATGTCCTGCTGCGGTAAAAATGCCTCAAGTTCTTAATTATGTAATATCTCATGTCCCATTATTAATGAACGAAAATATTTAGGCCATATAATTATACAAAATTAATTTCAAAAAAAGAACTTAATCTAGATTCCGTCGGGCCCAGAACAATACAGCACAATTCAATGAAAGTAAATTCAACTAAAAAAAACTAAAGTATCTTTGTGACAATCCAATTAGTGGGTTAATGTATAAACATACATCATTGTTACTAATCTCTTTCTCCCACGTCTTCAAATTCCATGCATCAACTCCTTTAGCTCCATAGTATTCCTCAACTTGAAAATCTGTCAGATGTTTTATATTCTTGAATTGCTGCAAATTAGCCACAAACACCAAATAAGTTTAATCTGTGACTGAATCAGCCACGCATTTTGTTATGCAGGAAGAGCACGACATCTCATCAACCACATTTGTGAAAGAAAAAAAAAATTAACATGCCTGATTGACAAGATGAACTGTGGGAGCCATGAAAACAATCAGCTTCTTTACACCACTAGTCTTGATTTCTTGACCAACCTCTTTCAATAGCATCACAGCAATCAAGGTCTTGCCGGAGCCTGTATCCAACACTGCTATTGTGTTCCTCTGTCTTGCAACTTCAAACACCTCTATCTGATACCTCTAGGGAAAACCCAAAAAGCATGAATACTAAAAGCCAAAATTACCCTCATCAAACTCGATCAAGAAAATAACAAAAACGTAATATTTATGATCAAACTCGAAAAGAAAATTCAAGTAAATAACAAAACAAAACAAAATAAAACGCAATCTTTAAGAAAAGGCTTTAAGAGTAAGAATAAAAGTAAAAAAAAAAAAAAAAAAAAAAAAAAAAAAAAAAAAAACACCAGCAGCAGCAGCAGAAGAAGCGAAAAAACGCAATTTTTATGATCATTCTTCCCAAACCCTTTTGCCAAAAAAAACGGAAAGCATAATTGGGGGCATGCATATTGCAACATCACCCACACCAAAACTCAAAAAGAAGGGGCAAACAATAAAATGAAAATTTTTAAAAATTGAAAATATACAAAATTCAATAAGTGTCTGCCATAAAAAAAACACAGGAAAAATATAATAATAAATAAAAAAATAAACCTTCTGGGGTTCATGGTGGAAAACGGTGATTCCAGGCATGAATAATCATCAACATCTTCGAACTTTCGTTTTTTACTTTGGTCCTGGTTGTGGTGTGATGGATCATGAATGTTGAAGTTCAAGGCCATACTAGGATTTGCATGACACGATAGAAAGAGGAGTGAAGTGAGCTTGAAGCTGAGGAGTGAGAAATATAGGACTAGGTTCGTAAGCCAAAAGTTTGGACTTTTTGTGTTGAACTTGAACCCGCGACCGCGACAAATCGTTATTAAAAATTTTAATTAATTAATAATACTACCTGATAAGTTGAAATTTTAAGAAAATTTGAAGATTCCTTTTTTAATGATTCGAGTCCCAATAAATAAATAAATATATATATATATGATCACATATAAATCCCCAAATACCATGGAAGTCATATAATCCATTAAAGGGATGTTATCATTTCCCTTTCAAAGGTTTACTTGAAGTCTTGAACTAGTATTCCGTTTTGTCTTCTCTTAACTAATTGTACTTATGGATTAGCCACAGCTGAGTATATATATATATATCACATATATTTTTTAGTGTATGAAATCTTATACGAGTAATAAAGCTTTACTTTCAAATATTTAACCCAATTGTTCAGAATCAAATAGGTAAAACAAATTAATAATTCCATTTTTATAATTTTTGTAATAAGTTGTCATAATTTCCATACTTAACAACTAAAAGTGGGAAACGGCTAATAAATTAAAGTTATATATCTATTGATATCTAAACATTTATTATATATCATTTATATGGAAGTATAACTATTATACAAGTATATACGATATAAATATAAATTAAATAAAAATTAATTATAAAATATAAGTTGGTGGTCAAACAATTTCTATTATCAACTAATTACACAAAGGTAGCATAAAATAACAGTATTAACAATCTCAATTGGGACCTCTAAAACAACTCTCATAGAAACATATTTTTGCTCTGCTCACAAATTAAATATAATCATCGTAGTTCATTTACATAAAAACATATAAAGATAAACTAAAATTAAAAAAAAATAACATATACGACACAAAGTATCAACAACATTAATATATGATTACATCTTCATTACACTATCAACATATAACATCATAATACAATTAATGTGAGTGTGTTTATATATATATATCAACATGAACAACTTAATCTACCATAGCACAATATGGACTACATCAACAACTCAGATTTTTCATTACAACTGTATACATCATCACGCATTTCAATTAGGACATATCATATAACAGTAGTTTAAGTGGTTTGATTATACTGAACCAATAACATAGAGTGATATTTTTGGGCTTGTTAAATCAACAATAAATTGAATATCAATCCACAATACAAAAACTTGGTTACTCGGATGTCGTCACTTAAACCAGAAAGTTTAGTACTACTATTAAGGTAAAATAGTTAGGTATGAGCTTACCACAACTTTAGTTGGCTTAATTAAGTCTTCAAATACTACACCTTTCTAATATTTAGTTACGAACTGAGTTATCAACTTTGTACTTTACTCGATTGATCACTTCTAATTCGTATAACTCAACCTTACCCTTATATTGTGGTCACTTTATACCTGTATGCATCGACCTTGTCCACATATTGTGCCAACTAAGGTCCTTTACTCGGCCATCTTATTCAAGGGTCAACTTCCCAAGAAGGAATTTCAACAAATTAGGCTCTCGAGGCATCATATTACAATATTCACATAATGAGACATGCAATTTTAAAGCAACATCTTCTTTAATCATAGGTTAATCAACACAACTTTCAACACTATGTCTAAATGCTTAAAGCATTCTCAACATTTATCGTCTCAACAACACAACAACATCATGCTTAAAGTGTTTTCAATACAACTACACCACCAACACACAATATACAACACACATCATGTAACTTAACTCACTTATAACTTTGAACCATTAATCACCTCTACATATCCTTATATTAACTTGTATAGAATAATCAACATTTTTCAACTCAAAACAAGTAATAAACTACTCAAATCTACTTATTTTCAACAACTAGTTAGCCAAACAACAAGTTTTAATTCAACAATCAATGTTCGACACCACACAACCAGTGTTCAATGTCATATAGGCAAGGGATTCTCTGTCTTGCCCACGACCAACGCTACACAACTCACACTTGGCGTGGATTAGGTAGAGGTTCCTAGAACCTCAGGCCCAACGTGAGTGAGTTCCACATTCGACTCCAATTCAATCTAAGACAATTTTTTTTCCTCATGACCAACATCATTCAACTCACGCTTGAAGTCATTTCAACTCAAGATGATTTTCTATCCTCATGCCCGACACCACCCATCTTGCGTTCGTGCGTGCATGAGACAAAGAGTCTTACTTTGAAATGGCACCCGATGCCTTGAAGGCGTGTTTGGGGTGGAAAAAGGTCTACACCAAGACAAAACACAAAGTCGCCTCCCTTCACCTGAAATCTAGCAACTTCTAAGCGTGCAACGATACCAATCAACCATATACACATAATTGTACACAAATTAACATGCAACAACTATAGACCAAATCATCATTTTTAATTTCAACATGCTTCAAAAACTCAAACCTCAACCTCCAAGCATTCAAACTCATCCCAAGTAACACAACAACTATTTTTACATAAAGACAAAAATATAGTCTAAGTTTTCTTACCTCCAAAATCTCCAAACCACAAAGACAAGAGGAATGAGGAAGAAAAACATCAAACAATTTGAGGTCATGTCACACAAAATCATAAATTCGGATTCAAGTCCTTACTGACTTAAATTCCTTAACAAAACAACAAGAAATTAAAATATGGGAAAGGAGTTCCCTCATAAGATGAGAGTTTGAAGATGAAGAGAACTTATGGTTGATAAACTTATCTATCCAGTTCATTTCTATAGGTTTCTAAAGAGTAAAAACTTGAATTTATGAAACTCAATCTTAAACAAAAAATCTTAAATACCTTATTTCCGAGGTTAAATTGAACTTTTGCCTAAAAAAATCTTTAACACTATATAAATTCACAAGAAATTCTCAAATATTAGAACTTCTCAATACAATAATTAATCAATGCAACAACATATAATAATTTAAAATATCTACAATACTCTACAACTTATAATGTTACAAATTTTATTAAAAAAATTATTAATTTTAAATTTGATTTTCTTGTGTTTATATATATATATATATATA